TGCAAATCAGGGATTACAGTGGAACATTAAGAAGCCAAATATTGATTACAGAATAATTAGGTGACTTACTTTTTGAAAAAGCAGAAATTAGTTAAAGGATTTCTATATCTTGGTTTAATCATTGGAGACTGCATCCCAGAAATCAGAAGAAGACAGATTTGGAAGAATGTCTATGAAGGAGCTAGAGAAGGTCCTCAAGAACATGAATGTGTCACTGAAGACCAAGATAAAGATCATCCATACTGTGGCATTCCTGATAACTATCTATGCATGTGGAAGACAGACAGTGAAGAACGTTGTGAGGCAAAAGTCTTATAAATTCAATACGATGTTGGGAGTGAATTTTATGAATAACAAGGATCACTAGCAAGACAAATAAATGGATGAAATCAAAGCTGAATTCTCTCCAGAAGCAAAAATCACTGAATAGGTGATCGCACTGGGCATGTTATAAGACAAAATTCACTGGAAAATGCAATGATAGTGGAATAACTGAAGATGCAGGAAAACGTAAAGACTGAATATACTGATTCAGTAAAGGAACCTATGGCTGTAAGTTTGCAAGACATGAGCAGGGTTGTTAATGATAATGAAGATTTGTAGCTCATCACATTGCCATGAATTGAAAGCAATTTCACAGCACAAAACAACAGCAACAAAGTACAGTGGGGTCTTGACTTGAGAACTTAATCCGTATTGGAAGGCGGTTCTCAAGTCAAAAAGTTCTCAGGTCAAATCTGCATTTCCCATAGGAATGCATTGAAAACCATTTGATCTGTATCTGCTCTTTTCCGTCCATAGAAACTAATGGGAAGCTGCTATTCTGCCTTCGACCATTAGAGATGTTTCTTTTTTTCTTAGGTCAAGAAAGGTTCAAGGAAGGCAGGGAAAATACAGTCCAGGCAGGACAGTACCAGGCAGTCTGAAGACTGTCTCCCAATCCACTCTCTAAACGCTGGGAGGAGTGAGGAAGCAGACAGGCACCCTTTTCACTGGCCAACAGTTAACTGAAAGTTCAAATTTTGCACTTTCCCTGCCTCCCACGTGGTTTTTTTTCAGTTCTTAACTCAAATCTAAGTATGTAAGTCAAGTCAATATTTTCCTATGAGAGTGGTTCTTAAGTCAAAATGTTCTTAACTCAAGCCGTTCTTAAGTCAAGACCCCACTGTATGTCAGTTGTACACCACGTTTAAGTGGTGTATGAAATAAGCAGTGTATGAAATACTTGTCCAAGAAATATCAATATAAAAATGGGTTTTGAAAAATAAAGCAGTTGACAATACAGGAAAAATGTAGTCAAGCCGGGACCAAATTCCTGTGGTCTTTGAGTACAATTTCAACCTACTTAAATAACGGGATTTCTGAAATGTGGTTGAAGCGGTTTCTACACACATTCACAACATTCCGTGGCATTTGTTTTTAGGGCAGAAAACGGATGGTGAAACAATTTATTCCACAGTTAGGATATATGTTGGCTTTTACTCCCAAGATTGTTCTGGGGGACGGTTCATTTTGCTTCTGGACGTTAGGTAGTCCTAGTCATACTCTTACACATATTTTGCAACATTCACAACTGCCGTGTGCAGCTAATCCAGTTTGGCAGTATACATACTATTCTAGGTGTGGAGTAATTAGAAGGCAAAGGTTGCTGGTAAGCATCATTGATTGATTCCTCCCATCCATTGCTGGGTTTTGAAGCATTAATAATAGTTATGTGCCATCAAATCAATTTTATGGCGACCTTTGCAGCATATTCTGTGCATAAAGTACTCGAAAGTGGTTCACCAGTCTATCTTTCTGGTTGCTCAACTTGCCCCAGTTCACACATGTAACTCCATTAGCTAAATACTGTGGACAAAATATTGTCTGGTTGAACAGTCACAGCTGTTTGTTTCAGTCATGACCATCTTGTATTATTAGTAAGCTGTTTTTGCAACTATAATCTTCAGTAGTTGTTTTTGAGACGTGTTTAAGTAATCCAGGCAGTTGTCAGTTAAAATGTAATTATCTATATCCCACTCCTTTCAGATATAAGCAAAGTTTTTCAACCTGGGCAAAAAAAGGCAAAATAAGCAAGTAATGAATTAATGTAATTGTGCCAACAATTCATGGTTGACCTATGACAATTCTCCCAGGGTTCTCTAGGTATAAAATTCTCAGAAGTGGTTTCCCAGTCCCTGGTTCTTATAGCCCTCTGGGTCCACACAACTTGCCCAAGTCTGTACAGTTGGCAGTGCACATAAGCCCATCAGCTGCATATGATCTGCCTGGTGTCTGCTCACCTCTGTCCTGGAAGGTGTTGTGGGGATTCCCGAGCCCTGCCTTTTCAGCCAGGCACTCCGGTCATTTGAGCTATAATAGCTGTTATGGAGAACTAAACCTGCTTAATAATTAGGAAAAACTGCCTGTGAAGAACTCTAGATTCATCCTGGAATACTTTAATCAAGAATGTACCACTCTCATCTTTGTTCAGGCTGGAATGTATGTTAGTATTTTGAGCCCTACACATTTCCCACTCCATCCTGTCACAAATCTCTGAGGAGGTGTGTCTGACCTGATTGATATTTCACATATGCTTCAGTTCCAAAGTGCCTGGGTCAGACTTTAAAATAAGAGTGATTTTTTTTTTTCAAATTGAAGTTTAAATGTCTGTCCTTGCTGGCTTACTTTATTGTATCATACAGGAATTGGATAAACCCTCTTTCTGGCTAGCCAATGGAAATGTGAGCTGCCTTTTCAAGGAAAGTTTTAGATTAAGGAACATATGGAGACTAAGGAGAGGCAGAAGGTAGTAGGTATTAATATAGTTAGAGATAAGAGAAAGGGGTTGCATGCACATTTTTCTCTGTAACCAAGGATTATGCTTAGGATTTCTAGCTGGAAGCATGTGAACCTAGGTATATTTACTTCTTGAAATTTTCCTATTTTTCAAATGCCTCTAAATTTCAGTTTCCCTACACCAGTTTTTCGCACTGGAGATTATAATCCCGAACAATTGCAGAGCATCATATTGGGATGGCTCTACTAAATAAATTCTACTTTACTCTTCCTTCTAGAGTACTGTGTCTGAAAAGGCTTACACCTGTTTTATAGCCCTACCAACCATAGTCAGCTTATGCTAGAACATGTAGTTCTGTAGTTGCAGCAGATTCATTTAAGTCTGTATAAACACAAAATATCAGGGATTCTATTTTGAGAATCCTCTATTTTAAAATGTTACTTATGTGATTAGTTTCAATATTATTACTGCCCAGTAACAAAGACACTGTGATCAACATTAAACCGTGAAATACAAATGTATGTCATAAAAATAAAATGTAAAATTGCATCTATACAGGTGGTAGATAGTTGAGTAGTGTAGGTTGGAAGTTCAATTCCCCACTGTGCCTTCTTGATAGGGATTGGACTTGGTGATCCATAGGGCCACCTTCCAGCAGTACAGTTCTAAAAATATATATGAGCAGAAAGAAAGCACCGAAGAACAGATAGAAGAACTGCTCAACTCTCCATGTGCTGGGAGGATCCCTTTGTGCTCACTAATATTAGAAATCTGCCAGCAGGGCTACTGTGCTGGCGAAGATCAGCCAGCAAAAGATTTGTAGAGGTTTTTTTGGGAAATTAGTGAGGTGAAAAAGAACTGAGTTATATTATATCCAGGAACATGGCCTCTGTGGTGGCACAAATTTAACCCAAGATGAGGATAGTCATAAGTAACTCCAATATCCCTAGGCTGGGAGTGGTTTGATTCAAGCAAACTTTAGGTTGGCCTGACGTCAGCTTACCTGACCCTCAGGCATGTTGACTAATTAGGATAGTGCCTTAAATCTTGCTAGATTGCTAAGTCATTTTTTCCAGTATACAAATATGATCACTGTCCTAATTCAGTTAACCAGATTACAGTTAAGTGCTAAGTCATTTTTTCCAGTATACAAATACTGTATAATCACTGTTCTAATTCAGTTAACCAGATTACAGTTAAAGGAAGGATGAAAGCTCAGTGGCTAGAGAATATACTTTACATGCAAAAGGTATTAAAATCCTGGAAACTGGATGGGGCAGTAGTTCCCAACCCTGGGTAACCCAGGTGTTCTTGGATTGCTCTTCCCAGAAATGCCAGCCGCCAAAGCTGCTGGTATAGGCTTCTGGGAACTGCAGTCCAAGAATACCTGGGTTATCCAGGGTTGATAACAACTGAGGCAGGGCTTGAAAAGAGTTCTCTGTGGAATCCTAAAGTGTCTCTGATAACCAGCACAGAGACTATTGAGCTAGATGGATTGGCAGGCAGACTAAATATAAAGCAGGTTCAGTAATTCTATCAGGAATATGCAAAATCCATAATGTTAAAAGATGCCCACAAAATGCATAGCTTAGAGAATGGGAGATGAAATGAAACTGTGCATGTGACAAACATACACTAAACTTTAGTAACCTTTTGCTACAGTACTATACATTATCCTCAGTGTTATATAAATCAGACATAAAAGATTAGAGTAGAAGGGTAAGGTATACAAAATAATGGAATTGGTTTGGTTAATAAACATAGTCAAAATCTGACATTATCTTTTGTCCTTTGGGTACTTCCTAGTAATAGAAAGTCAAGTAATACATTATTCAATAAAATAGTAATACATGGGGTTGTAGTAGCTTTTATTCATTTTCAACTGTTCTGTGTATTCTTGTGTGTCAATTTAAAGACATAGATAAGATGTAAAATAAATTTGGCCTTTGTGACATGTTGCATTCAGATGTACGGACACACACAGCTCATACACACACACACACACACACACACAGAGAGAGAGAGAGAGAGAGAGAGAGAGAGAGAGAGAGAGAGAGAGAGAGAGAGAGAGAGAGAGAGAGAGAGAGAGAAATATGTATTTGCTTTTAGATGTATATGACGCTAAACTCTTAGTATTAAGTTGTGCTTTGCACGTATGCATGTTTTTTTTTGTGTGTGCATGTATTAGTGTATATAGAACATGCTGTATTTATATTTTTAGTTAAAACAGAGCCAATGAGCAGCAGCGAGATTGCTACTACAACAGCAGACGGGTCTTTAGACAGTTTCTCAGGATCAGGTAAAGAAGCAATTAAATAATTTTTAATAGTTGAAATTAGATATCCAGACTTTAAAAGAAACCTTTATTGTGTGGAAATATTTAATTAAAACATTTCTGAGTGCAATATATTCTATAGATTTCCATGTGGTTATTCAGTGTTGCCACCTATCACTTGCTCACTGCCCAAAACTGTGCATTGCATTTTGCTAATTCACACAATACTTTGTGCATCAATTGAAAGTGTGCATGAAAAAAAATCTTACTCTTTAGCAAAGATAGCAAAAATATTTGGAAATAGTATTTTGGAAAAAGTCTATTTTGAAATTCAGTTCTCAGTGGCTCATAAGTGTATTTTTTCCCTTGTAGTACCTTCTGCTGTTTTCACCTGGAATATTTCTTACTGCTGGCATTAGCTAAGCACCTTTTAGTTTCAGTTATTGTCCCACACTTCTTTTGTATAATTTTTTTCACTTGCATTCTTTCATCTACCTGGTCTTTGGGTTCTCCATTCTGGGACAGATGATACTGAATCGCTGACTATTATTTATTGATTATTTGATTTTTATGCCATCTTTCTCCCAGCTCTCAAGCAGCTTACAGTATAAAGCAGCTTACAGTATAAAGATCAGCAGAATCTGTTTGGAATTATGATAATGCATACATACATAAAAAGGCAGACATTTCACACTTAAGAATTGTCCATTTGGTATTTTTTGTTCTATGGATTAAAAATGTAGGGAAAATGTGAGGGCAGAGTTGTGACAAAAGAGGAGCTGGATAAAAGAGGAAGCTTTGAAAACCAAGCCCTAAGAGAAAAGTATGAGGCAACTTCTCATGTTTAACCTGGAAAAATGAAGGCTGAGGGACAGTATGATAACTGACTTCAAATATTTGAAGGGCTTATTTTTCAAGTAATGGCTTCAAGCCAGGAGAAAGAAGATTTTGACTAACTGGTGGGAAGAATTTCCTAACAATGAGAGCCAACTACCTTGGAAGATGAGGGACTCTCCTTCACTGGAGATTTTAAAGTTATAGCTGGATGTCACTTTTCAGTGATGCTTTAAGGTGTGGATTTCCCGCATTGGCAGAAGACTAGACTTGACCCTTGGGATGCTATGATACTATGATGATTCAATTGAGTAAAATATGGTGGAATGTTAAAAAGGCATTAAAATTTGCTAGATTTTATTAATGGTCTTTTAGGAGCAACTTATAAGCCTAATTCATAATAAATATTTATGTATTTATTTATTTATTTATTGGACTTATATACCGCCCCATAGCACTGCAAGCACTCTCCGGGCGGTTTACAATTTAATTATACAGGCTACACATTGCCCCCCCCCCCAGCAAGCTGGGTACTCATTTTACCGACCTCGGAAGGATGGAAGGCTGAGTCAACCTTGAGCCTGTTCCTTGGGATGTGAACCCCAGGTCGTGAGCACAGTTTTAGCTGCAGTACAGCGTTTTTACCACTGCGCCACGAGGCTCATGCTAAAGATACTAAAAATTGTCATGCTAGCCTGAATCTAGCAAAATATTACTTGGCACAATTTAAATTTAACTGAACATTTTTAAATGTCTGAAGTTCCCAAAACAAAAGTAATATTTAGAGAGGTGTGTGTGTGTGTGTGTGTGTGTGTGTGTGTGTGTGTTTACTCTTCCATGTGCTTTCTTTTCTCCTTTTTACAGCAATTGGAAACAGTGGCTTCAGCCCAAGACAAACTCACCCGTTTTCCTCGCCACAGATATACTCTTCCAAGTAAGATGTATAATTCCTTTTTCAAAAAGAGAAAAAAAGTAGACCAAAACTTAATTCATAATGATAATTGAATCCATCTGCTAAATCATAATTGAAACCTTGAGAGAAGCTACACTTTAAAATAATTGCTATGTATATTTAGATATAGAAAACTAGTTTGTTAATTAATTCATTTTGCACAGTGGCCAAGGAGTTCAGATTTTGTCGTACACTTTAACTAGAATATTTGCATGTTTCTATCTAATGCAAAGACTTCCCTTTTTTGTGTCATTTTATAACAAATAGCCGAACATACCCACATATTCTTCCTACTCCTTCTTCGCAAACCATGGCTGCATATGGGCAGACACAGTTTACCACAGGGATGCAACAAGCCACTGCTTATTCAACCTACCCGCAGCCTGGTCAGCCCTATGGAATCCCATCATATGGTGAGTAAAGTTGCTTTGGAGATTTTGAGAGACAGTAATGTGTTGAACTATGCAGTTACTTTGCTGCTGATTGTAGAATTAAATAGAAACAGAGGACTGCATTTTGATAGCATTGCTTATGAGCCAAACCAAACCCCAAGCTATGATGTGGCATAAATATTTTAGAATATATTTGAGATGTCAGAGGTAATAGTGCTTTTTTCCCCCCAGGATTTTGGGATCATGCTCATGAGTGTCTTGTCTTTAGGCTCTACATAGCTTGTATCTCTCCTCTGTTACTCCACATATAGGTCAGTTTTTTAGGTGAAATGTTCCTCACAAGTTTTACCAAACTATAGGTGGACCCAGACTTAGTCATGCTTAGAGTAGATCTGCTGATATTGACAGGACTTCAGGTATAATTAACTTAAGCCTTATTGGGTTCAGCCCATCTCCTGTAATACAACTAAGTCTGGATTCCATTCTTGACCTAAGGACTTTTACCTTACAATGAAAATGTTAAAGAAACTCAAAACATGCTATTTTGATTCTCATTTTCCATTTAAAAATTCTTTACAAAATGCAGAAGATATGACCCAATTACGTTTGAAGTCTCATTGATATAAGTCAAAGATATTTAAACACACTTAATGGAAACAATTCCACATTTATCTTTAGACCAACATTTCATAGAACAAGCAGTAGCATTTGACAGCTTGAACAGAAGTCAACAAATTCCACCAATAATTGATGGTCCACATAAGGATTTATAATCTCCCAACAAACAAAATTAAACAAGAAGCATTGGCACATCTCAGTTGGAAGCAAATTGTATAGCTCAGAACTACTGCTGCAAAAGCTTTGTGCTGTCTATCTTGTCTCTCTCTGTAAAGGCATTTCTGAGATGAGGCTTCTCATTCAGAGAAAAGATGCAATGGGCAAAGGCAGCGTATTACCCTTGTGATGTATAAATGCACGTGTAAATGACTCGGGACACTACAAACTTTATTGGTAGCATTTGAAACAAAAGCAAAAACTAACATATAGCCAATGAACTATGCACTGATTCGAAAGCTGCTGTCTCCCTGTACTGAAAGAAGTCCAGTGGGCTTGCTGCCTAGTAAGTGTAATGCGGATTGCAGCCTCAATTGAATAGTCAGTTAATCGGCTAAAATTAAGGAAAATAATTAATTAAGGTTTCTTTATTTAGGTGATATGCATATAAAAGAGCACTATTTTATATATGCCTGGAAAATCAAAGGAAGAAAATGGTTCCAAGTATGGTCCTGTTATCTATTTTTAAAGAAATGGACGGGCAACTGTGGTGAGGTGTTCTTGGTCAGCAACACCCATCAGCATTGGTCAGATTTCTGGTACAAAGGAATTATGGAAATTGCAGTCCAGTAACACCTTGAAAGGCCAGAGTTGCCCATTACTAGCATAAAAAAATCACATGTATAAATAAGCAAGTACATTTTTCATTGTGTTGAGCTCAGTGAAATGATCTTGTTAGGATAATACTTTTGAGTTTGTGTCATACTGGCCAAAATGCTGTTCCAAAGTTGTACCAGACGAAGGGAAATGGCTTAACTCACAGTGGCTAATAACTGCCAATTAACAAGTTTCCACTTGGCTTCCTAATTATTCATAGTTGGCTGAAAAAGTACACAATCAAGAGTCCAAGTGAGGATTTGTTAATTGGTGGCAAATAGTTGCTATGAGTTATGCCATTTCCCTTCCTCTGGTATAACTTTGGAACAGCATAGCTATAGAATAGAATTTTGGCATTATTTTTGAATGAGAGCAAAAATAGAGATTTCATCCGATTTGAGTTTATTTTGACTTTATTTCTTATTTCTTTTTAGATACAGTAGTTATATATTCTTGTATACAGTAATATAATGCATTTTAAAAAATATTATAGCTCCACCTGGTTTTATATTTCTTTTTCTATTATGATGTAAATTGATGAGTTTTTTTTAATATTCAGTTTATTGTTATTCATTTATAATGCCCATACAGTCATGTCAAAAAGAAAGTACATCCCATTTGAATTTTATGGTTTTAGGTATTAGGATATAATAAAAATAATCTGATCCTTAGCAGAGCTGAAAATTAGTCAAATACAACCTCAGATGAACAACGACACATGACATATGACACTGTGTCATTATTTATTTTATAAAATAAAGCCAAAATGGAGAAGCCATGTGGAAAAACTAAATATACCTTTACTTCTTCCATAGGAATAAGAGGCTAAGTAGTACCCAGGTGCTGCTAACCAAATGCCTTTGAGTAATTGATCATTGGCAAGCATGACCACTTCTATAAAAGCTGAAGTTTTAGCAATTTGCTGGTCTGGAGCTTTCAGGTGTGTGCTAACACAATGCTAAGGAGGAAACACATCAGCAATAACCGTAGAGAAGCAATTGTTGCTACCCATCAATCTGGGAAGAGTTAGAAGTCCATTTACAAACAATTTAAAGTCCATCATTCTACAGTGAAGAAGACTATTCACAAATGGAAAACATTCAAGGGAGTTGCCAATCTTTCCAGGAGTGGATGTCCCGCAAATTCACCCCAAGGTCAGCCCATTCGATGCTCAGAAAAATAGCCAAAACCACAAAAGTTAAATCTCAGACCCTATAGACTGCAGTTAGCATGTCAAATGTTAACATTCATGACGGTACAATTAGAAAAAGACTGAACAAGTATGGTTGGTTTGGAAGGACTGGCAGGAGAAGGCCTCTTCTAACATGAGACAGTATGGCCTAGATTTGCAAAATTGCATCCGGACAAACCATAAGACTTCTGGAACAATGTCCTTTGGAGAGATGAAACCAAAGTGGAGACGTTTATCTGTAATGCACAGCACCACATTTGGGAAAAACCAAGCACAGCATATCAGCACAAACCCCTCATACCAACTGTCAAGTGTGGTGGTGGAGGGGATTTGGGCTTATTTTTCAGCCACAGGACCTGGGCACTTTGCAGTCATTGAGTTGACCATTAATTCCTCTGTATACCAAAGTATTCTAGAGTCAAATGTGAGGCCATCTGTCCAATAGCTAAAGCTTGGCCAAAACTGAGTCATGTTAATAGGACAGTGATCCCAAGGACACCAGCAAATCTACAACAGAATGGCTGAAAAAGAAAAGAACCAAGGTGTTGCAATGGCTCAGTCAAAGTCTCGACTTTAACCCGATTGCAGTGCTGTGGCAGGACCTTAAGAGAACTGTGCAAAATAATAAATAAATA